ATGTCTGCTGCCAGCCATTACCTTCTGCTTGATGGGAAAGGTGAAGAAAAAAAACTGAGTGCAAAAGCCAGAGCGTGTATGAGTCTCATAGAAAAAAAGCCTGTTTTCTTTCCTATGCATGCTGACCACCACACACACATGCTGTAATGTCTAGCTGTGAAATATCATCACCTTAGCCGTTTCATTAACTAATGTGATGATAAGACAACAAAGAGTCCACAACAGGAAATACATTTGAGCTAACAAGAGGAGATAGTCTGTGGGAATGAAGGGAACAAGTGCAAATGGTAGTTGGATCAGGAAAGAAAGGAGGAAGTGGGAGAGTTGAATAGGAGTGTGTGTTACTGTGTCTCCCAGACTGCAGAGATGACTGCAGCGGCAGAGGGACCCACACTGAATACCAATGGGCCAACTATGGCAGCTCAATACACAATTCACAACCCTCACAGTCTTTCTCTCACCCCCACACACACACACACACACACACACACAACACACACACACACACACACACACACACACACACACACACACACACACACACACACACACACACACACACACACACACACACACACACACACACACACACACACACACACACACACCAATTTGACTCTATTCTCTCTCAGTATAGGGTAAAAGAACACACAGTTAAAACACACAGTTAATCGCAGAGCAGGCTGACTGCAAAGCATACGTACAGTATATATACACACAAAAGAAAGAAAAGGCATTCAACCTTCGATAAAAAACGTCTTCCTGAGCCTCCTTCCCTTTATTCCCAGCTGCACAGTAAATGTCAACCTCAATCCGCTGATCCCTGCTGACTAGCGGGAGCCAATACAGTGGCAGCATGGATAAAATGGATAACTCCATGAATGAGCATCCTATTGTCGGGGCAGACGTATGGAAGATGGAAAAAGGAAATGATCTGAAGACAAATATTGTACAGCAAAGAAATAGTTTGGCGTCAAGGTCACATTCTATGAGAGGAGATATGTAAAGTCAATACAGACTCAAAACATATTAGCTTCACAACCCAACAAACTGTCCTACTTTTTACACCGTTTAAATCTTAAAAATTGCCACCTAATATCGTGCTTTAAAAGCATTTCCTTGATCATTGAAGCATACAGAAACCAAATCACATTTCTGTGTAAAATTACACCTGCCTTATTGTTCGAAATCAACACAGCACACAGAAGAGTGTTCATCTCTGTAATTGAGACCCTGTGGATTTGATCTGTTCGTGAAACTCTGGCCGAGTCTAATGTTTCAAATTCCTTTATATATTCTCCTTTATGAGTAATTGGCTCGCAGTGTTTGTAGAAATTGCTATGCAGCTCATACAGGGGCACAGAGTGAATAAGTGAGCATGTCATGCTATATTCTTAATATAGTAATGAAAGTAAATGTTGGATATTTCTGTTGGAAGGCAATTTGCATGCAGGAAGGTTTCTCTTGTTGAAGCTTTATCCCCTTTCTGCTGTGAGTCATGACTGAAGTTAGCCTATGACTTTGTCTGCCTGCAAAGGTGAACAAGAGAATGGGAGATTAAAGGAAATGTGAAGAGATAGAAAAATGATATTACATGATAATATGCATGACACGTCTCCTTTTTTTAAGGACATGATGTCTCTGCAGAGCACGGCGTCACAGTGAAGGCTCGTGCATCACATGGGGCGAAGCCTGCGAGCTAGTTCAGGCAGTCAACTCGAGCACCAATGATACATTAACACGTGACGCACCTCGTCCCTCTTACAACCAACCAAACACATTCTCCTAAACATGCCGCTCTATTTAAGCTGCCAGGTCTTCCTGCCTCGCTTATGCTGCTGCTGCTGCCACTGCTGTGTTCACTTGCTATTGCTACGTTCATGTTCCTGCTGCTGTGTTTCATGTTGCTGCTGCTCGCCTGCCCCACCACCACCCCAGCTTCCACCCCAGCTTCTACCTGTAGGCTCGGGGGATAGTTATCTAATCATCACTCAATGTTCTTTGAAAATCTGTGGAGTGATGAGGCCCGAGCCTAGACGCCAAACTCAAACTATATGCTGCTTCTAATAAACATATTAAGAAACACGTGAGTTGTCTGACTGAAATGGTTTTATGGTAGAAAGCCTGGCCTGCAGGCTTCTATCATTCACATCTAATAACATCTAATGAACGAGTTAATCTCACTCTTTTCTTTGTCATAATGCCTTTATATTTTTCTAAATGTTCATCATGACTTTGTCACTGTATTCAACTAAGATCACATGGAAGGGTTATATGTGTTAAAGTACCTGTTTGATGCATATAAGTCAGTCAAATGTCTTCACTCCCTGCTGTATGAACTTAAGCCCACGCGTCGAGAGATTAAGTAGTAACGATAATCATCAGCTACAGGTGAATGCAGCGGATGATGATGATGCTGCAGTGACGCTCACTGTGAGAGGCGTAGCAGGAGTAGCTTAAGCAGAACAAAAGAGTGAGCAGAGCGTGACAGATTACATCGAGTGTTGCAAAGAGAGGTGTGTGTAGAAGCGTGACTCAAATGCAGTGAAACCTCCCTCGGCTCTAATGTTATGTTGACATTTACCTTTAAGAAACACTGAGAAGAAGCTTTGGTCCTGTATGTTAATCTTGATACTTTTTGGATTGTCTAACATCTCCCTCCCCCACACCCTACAACCAACATTTTCTGTTGTCACATTTTTCTCACATTGACATTATAAATGTTGTTTTAATAGCAATATTGATTATAGCCATAGGTACAAGACTTTTTGGAAACAGCATGTCACAAAATAATGACCTCGGACTGACTCGCAGAGTTTTAATGAATGTGCGGTTTAGAATCGCTGCAGTACCAATGTTCCTTTTTCATGTTCTGCTACTAGCATTGCCATGTGATGTTCTTTTCCTTGCTTTCACCCCCTGCTAGTCCCCCGTCCTAATCGAGAAACCGGTTTTCAGATAATGTTTGCTCAAATGTCCTCTGGACGTATCAAGACGTTGCATACCCTGTTCAAAATGTACAGCCGGTCTGCATCAAATAGTTTCCTGATCCTCATAGGAGCAGAGCCACACCAATAAACACAGCTGTAGCACTTCTTGTTGCATTATGGTTAATGTCATGGCATTGTGCTTCATGCATAACAACTCCTTACTTTATGAGCTGCTTTTATGAGAAAGATTCAAGGGTGCTTTGAAACCTTCAAGAAACTATGAAAAAAAGTACACAAGTGACATGTTTGTCATTTTACGAGTATGATCAGGCGTGTAGTACTGCAATAATCTTGCCTTATAGAGGGACTGTGCTGTATTGGAAGTGACAGGGTCGGGTGATTTGTATGACGAACAGTGGCCTCATGTTAAGTATCACATTATCGCTATGACAGCTGCAGCTTATGCACACACATCTATAACAAGTCCTACAAGCTATGGAGAGGTCTGCATGTGTGTGTAAGCAATGTCAGAATGAGAAGAGATGTGTATGCATTTGCACATCCTGTGTGTCTCGGTGTGTGTGCTTGCAGCTGGTGAGTGTTTTCCATTTTGTGTGTTGGGGCTAGAATTGGCCTGTCAGTCACAGTATAGAGGGGAGGAGTGGGAGACGACAGGTGTCGGGGAGCGGGGGAGGAAGGAAAAGAGAGAGCATGAAAGAGATGGATGAAAGAGCGAAGGAGAAGGGCAGAATAGCAAAAGAGGAGGAGGAAGAAAGTGAAGTTCGGGAAACAATGTAGAACTTTTGTCCTAGATGTTAAAGGTGGGGTAGGTAATTTTGGAGAAACCAGCTCGAGTGCGCTAGAATTTGAAAATACACAGCCGGAAAAAATCTGCCACTTCCTTACAGAGCCCCTCCTCCAACACACACGAACGCGCACATGACCAATGAGGGCACGAGATAAGTTTGTGCACAGATGGAAGGCTGACAGGCAGGTAGGCCATCCAGTTATTTTAGCCGGGCCGGCTAAAATGATTGGTCGTGCTTTTTACAGTATTACGGCTTCCACAGATGACATTTTTGTATGGATTTTTTGTCAAAGCACTTAAGATATTCATTGCTATCGGGATGTTAAGAGCATTCCATGGAATATAACAAAAAGTGTATCTCGAGCCGGTTTCTCAAACTTACCTACCCCACCTTTAAATGCCAGTTGTATCGCAGTAGAAGTGATTGAGACATTATAGGTTTTAAAGATATGTTTAAAAAGCAGAAGCGATGTATATTGAGATATATGAGAAATATAGGTAAATATTTAACCTATGTCAGTGAGACTGCACATGAACTAAAGTTATTAAGAGTAGAGCAAATCAGAACAGCGGGGACTATTTTTCTTCCAAGCCAAGTCAAGACAAGCAAGCTTCTTGCACACGATCATGTTAGGTATACAGAATCTCTCTGTAACATCTTTGCGTACTGAAGACATTTCTGAATTTTTAACCATTTGATTTGAGTACAATACGAACTGCTGAACACTTTTTCTTCATGTCTCTTCAACCAGTTCTTACTATTCTCTCAACCACACACATTTTGCTCAGCATGTCACACCTTGTCCTTCTTTCCACTGTTCGTCTATCACTCCTTCCTATCTGCTTTTCTCTTTAGATTTGCTCCCAAAAGCTCTTGAGTATGATGGCCATGAATATTTAAATAAACTGCATTCTCAGGTTATCAATAATAAAATGCCATATTCTTATAAATATTCTAAAAATACGGCCGGACTCTGCCTCTTCAGTGGTGTATTAAATATTCATACACATCTAGCAAAATGCTAGACCTCCCACCAGAGCACACCCATACGGACATGACCACTGGATAATGTTCAGGTGTTTTCTTCCCACTTGTCACCATGTTTTTGTGAGTGTGCGTATCTTTGTTTCTGTGCACATACACGCTATCCCGAGCCCACACATCCTGCATACAGACACAAAAAACGATCTCTTACTCTCTCAGTTGGGCGCACACACAAATGCACTCAGTTTGTCTCACACACGCCATTTCCCTCACTCACCGTGGTGAGATGTCGCAGCCCTGTTGCATGAAGGCTCCCAGTGAGAACCAGAGGGAGTTGAAGATGCCAAACTCATTGGGAGGTTGGTCGGTGGGGCCAAGCTCTGTTGTTCCCTCCTCTGGTTCCTCTGCATGCCACTCATACGGACTGAAGCGACTCACCTGAGACAGAGGAGGAAGAAATAAATGTCATAGATCACTAAGAGGTTTAGAAAGGAAGAACGAACAGTGCAGGAACAAAACACATCTAGTTTCTTATTATACAGAATGAAGCAGAGAGAGAATTGTATTCAGCTAAATACCACACACTAGGCCTAGAGGGTACGCTTCTTGTGACTTTTGTGGAAGAGACATCCTTGAATATTCAGTTACTCTGGTGCCTCTTGAATATGTGAACTTGCATGTATCAAATGTATATATATGTATACAGAGTAGTTTGTGATGCTATTTCTGCATAGGACATCTTTATGTATGTAATTATTTTTCAGCATAGAAGAAGACTGTAAAAATACATTACAGCTGAGGAGAGTTTTAATAATACTTGAAACCTACACATGGTGTACCCAGAAGATTCAATAATTAAGTTCTTATATCATCAGTAAAGTGCATCCAGCTGTACATGAAATCCTCCATGAAAAGAAGACTCATCTCCTCTTTTCTTTATTTAGTAAAAATAACCAAACTGACTTCTGATTGAAATGTGTTCTGTAAGAGTCTACAAGCTCAATCAGAAGCATATGCTGTCGCTCGATAGTTGAGATTATTTTAGTCTGTGAGCCAAATAAGACATCTGCTCTATCATCCCTTAAGCTTTAAAAACTCTTCAAATGGCTACAGCGCTGCAATCCAACTCAAGTTCTAAGTGTTCAACAATCACTCACCAAAAACAGCACAACACTGACTCCAATGTACGCGAACACTATGCACATCCAGATCTCATAGGCCAGAGGGTCCAGGAAAGAGAAAACACCGGGTTTAGACTTCTGGGGCTTTTTGATCATGATGGAGATTCCCAGAGACATGAAGGGCTTCGAGAAGTCGATCACCTCTTCTCTCACCAGAGTGATGGTCAGCGGGGCCACAGCGATTGCTGCTTTCTGCAAAGAGTGGATGGGAAAAACAGAGTGTGTTTAGATGATTTTGGATATAAAGTGGAAATGGTAGCTACTGCGCAGTAACTTGACATAAAGCAGAACAGTGATTGCGAGGAAGAATTATCTGTGAACTCCTCGACATGCAGGATGGAAGGGTAAGAATGACGATAAAAGGAAGGAGATAAGATAAATAAAAAACCAGGGGAAAGAAAGGGCAGTGGCACAGCGGAGGAGGGAGAAGGGTGGAAAAAGAAAGAGGAGGTAGAAGGAATACCAGTAGGATGACAGAGAAGTTATTCATACTTGGGCATGAAAGTGAAACATATAATATAAATAATATATATATACATATATATACATATGTATGAGCCTGCATGGACTTAAACACACACTCAGAATCTTTAGAAGAGTCAAAAACGTCATTCACTCAGCACACTAAGTATTTGTTTCTGAGTAGCTGCTTGTATCTAAATGTCTGCAGTCTCAACTGAAAAAGAGGCTCGTATTAACTGACAAGTGTTCCTCAAGGCGAGAGGATTTGACAATGCCAGGAGAATAAACTGCTAAATGGAAGCTTTGTGGAAAAGTAACAAGGGTGCAACGAAATGTCCACAACCCATTAAATGTAATAGATAAGAGACAGAAATCAGGCAAAAAAGGAACTCAAGATAATAGAAAAGTAGATGAAGGTTACAGATACAGAGAGAATAATATTACAAATATGATATGTAAAGGAGGCAGAGAAGTGTTGCCATTGTTCAGTAGTTCCTCTATGTGACAGAAGAGTCATCATGTACATGTATGGCTGCAAGTGTTTGGAACAAATAAACCTAATAGGTCAAAGCAGTGGTTTCATGCTGTGTCGCCTTCCACTAGACGACTTCTAGAGGCTAATTAATTCTGATGTGTTCTGCTATTAACGTCTCCAGTTCCACTCTACCGCATAGTGAAGAGTGACATTGTCTCCTGCATGTTGATAACGTTTGACGGTGGTGTGAAATCTCAAACAGCGCATGGGCAACGGCATTATTAGACAACTTTTCTGGAAAAATACGTGAACCCTCTGAGACAAAGCATCTCTGCACAACAAGTTCCTCTACTGCGACAGAGTTATTTTGAGCATTTTTCTGCCGCTGCTCGATGGCCCGTGGTGGGGTCACAACATCAGACGAACAAATAAAGCAATGTTTAAGCCCTGCAGTATTTCATTACGAAATTACAGAAGTTCGGTTAACTCTGAGCCAGAGAAGTGTTGAGAACACATTTCTTCTGAGGCAATAATTTGCAATCTTGTGTACTGGATTGCATTATAGTATATTGGAAGTTGAACATGTTATAATGTCCTATACTTTGTAGAAAGTACATTTTGAAATGTTTGAACAGTTGCCTCAGTGGGTTATCTTGTTTAAATCTTCGAGAAAAATTCTATTTTCATCTGGGGCCATGAATTGGCATCACTTACAATCTCTATCTGACCCGTCCCAAGGTCTGATTCACTAAAGACATTAACCTAAGCTAATGACATTGCAACACAAACACCTCTAACAACTAAGTAATAAACAATTAGTAGTAAACAGTAAAATCCAAATATTTCCCATCCAAACTTACCCCATAAACAAGCTCTCCCACCATGCCGTTCCATATCTTGGTCTCTGGATCTCTGGCTCCATACTTCCCATCCGGTACAATGGAGATCTTGTATTTGATTCCGATGTGTTTTGCGATCTCTGAGGCCAAGTCCACACAGTATCCCTCAAACTGGTCGTTCCCTTCAAAGAGTTCATGGTTCTTCTTCAGCATCACATAGGGACCCTCCTACAAAGCCAGCATAAGGGGAGAAAGACAAAAGTGTTTGGAGGAACATGACAGCAACGATTATTAAAGCAAGAATAAACATGTACAAGTAGTTTAGTTGTGAACATTGTACCAAGGGAAAACACATACTGCACGAAGAAAAATCAAGGTACATACGGTTTGAAAATACACTTATATTACTTTTTCGAACTGAACAGAAAGGGCCATGGCTCTGTAATATACACCAATGCAATGTCGACAGATTTAACAGAAGAACAGACATTTGACTATAACATTAATATTCTGAAATCACACCTTTTACTATTAAGGAAGTCTCCCAGATATCTTGTCAGAAAAACACAGCAGCCACCCAAACATGTATAGAAATAGATGCATACCTGATAGATAATATGTAGCTGTTTTCCTTATTTTTTTACAAGACCATGTCTAAGAAAGATGTTTTATATATCTTGTGTTTCTGACTTCTAGTGCCTTGTTTAATTCCTCCATCTGACTTTACATGCCTCCACTGGGACCTGCACCCGACTCAGTGCAACACTTATGTTTAGAGGTAAGTAATGTACAAGAGATTGGGGAAAAATAAAACAGGAAGAGAGGAGAAAAAAAGGGAAACTGCAGCTTTGGTAATGTGTCGTAAGAGATAGAGAAATGTCTATGCATGCAGTAAACAAAAAGATGAAAGCAGAGAGGAGGTTTAATGTTGTCTAGTGAGATTGTGGGTGTATTAGGGATGACACAGAAACATGGTCACAGCATGCACACACATTACCACACCTGCGTAGGATATTCATAGGAAAAATAAACACACACACACTTTTGAGTGACAGCGCATCTATCAGGAGCAGTGAGTTATGGTATTATGCCTGAGGCTGCTCACCCTGTAATCCAACTGAAACTAAGCCTATTAAAATGCTATCAAAGCCTTTTTAATCAAAGACTAATCTCATCTAATTAATCAAACAGGCTTTTACTGTATCCAACACTCCCATGCTATGAAAAGGTTTATGAAGTTCATAAAACATAATAAAAGATAACATATTTTGGATTGAATTCTTCATTCAGGAAATTGATTCACATTGAAAACAATTACAGTTTAAACAATGGGGATTTTAGGATTACAACTCCTCTGCCACAGATTTGGAGTTAACGATCTTCAATACGGGAAGTTGAATTACATTGAAAGTAAGTCTATAGCACAAGAAAGCAGGCAGGGCAATACAAGAATCTCACAATGGAAATTAAACTGTATAAACACAACCTGCAAAAAGAAGCTGGATTTAAAGCCATAACTCTAGCACTCGTCAAAAAACAACAACTGGGATATGCATATGTTTTTTTGCGCATTAAAAAAATCACAAATGAAATAATAATAGTCGGTAATTTACATAGGAAAGGTTGGGATACAAACTCACATTTTAAAACAAACAAATACCGCCTGGAGCAATGCATTACCACATTTCTAATGCACCATTATTCAGTCATCAGTATACAATTTGTTAAAACAAAATACATTGCTTCCAAAACCAACCACACACATGAGACAAATAACACTTCTGTCACCAACATCATCATCAAATACAAACATTTCCCCATTGGGTTGAATGTCAAAACATACAAAAACATTTCTTCTAAAAATGTCATTATCAGGGACATTAGCAGGTCCCAGGGCTCATTCCATTGACTCAACATGAATCATAATGTTAATGAACAGCAAACAGCAGTTCCTAGTCAATTCATTCTTATAGTTTAACATCCTGTAGCAATGACTACTGTTCAGAACTGCCGCAGGAAAAGGAACAAAGTAACAAATATGTGAGCTTTAAAGGACAACACCAGCTTGTTTCAAGGTTGTGGTCTAATTACTGTGAAGCTCTAAAATAAAAAGGTCTTACAATCATCTTGCTTTGCGTGTTTGCTTTGATTTGTAAGATTTGCATCAAACGCTATAATTGTTTTCAACCTGTTGTGATATTAAGTGGCTAGAGACCCTATACATTGTATTAACAAAAATGAGACGGTGCACTTAATGAAGAAGAGTATTTTGTGAATGATTCTCACATGCCTGTAATGTTTTGAGCAACTTTTGGACTCAAAGACAATAATAAAACTGAAACGTTCTACAACGTGTAATGTATACAATCAATGTATCCCCTTCAGCATTTAACTTTCAGCAAAGAAGCAACCTAGAATATTTTCCAGATTGTTGAACCAATCATTTAGGTTCATTTATATTTACTGGAGGGCAATCGTTTGTACATTGTGTCCCATATCAGGATTGCGCCTTTGTAATGACCCTCCCTTGAAAGATGAGAAAAGGCTATTATCTCAAGGCGAATCGTTTACCTAATTCGTGACAACAAAGTCCATCTCAGTTGCCTTCTTCATAAAATAACCCCAATAACAATGTTAGAAGTAAAGTATTTGAAACTAGAGCAAGCTACTCTGTTGAGTTAATTTAGCTTCATGTACAAACAGAGACACACACAAAGACACACATCAGTGGGAGCTCTGCCAACACTGGCACTGTTTCACTTTAAAGCCTCCTTAAGGTTTGTTATCAGTTTGCCCCAGACGCCTTTGTCTTGGTGTGAAGGTAATGCCAATGATGTGTGTGAGTGTAAGTGCGTGTACTGAATAATAATATAACTTTTTTTACGCATTTGGTTTTGGTGTTGCACGAAGCATCACGAGTCAGGATATGGCAATTCATGGCGGGTAAGGAGAGGGGACGGAAACAGGGCTAACGATTAAGTGGTTGAAAGCGAGAAAAAGGGAGGGAAAGGTAGATGGAAATTAAATAGAGAGAAGGATGTGATGCATACTGGCTGCAAAAAACTAGGAGGATGAAGGAGCAGATCAGAATACAAATAGAAATAGCTACAGGTAGAATAGAAGACAGATAGGAACAGAACAAAGGGAAAGTGTGAAGTTGAGATAAAGAAAAAGAGAAGTCGAGAAGTAAAGAGGGAAAAGGCTGAAAGGACAGACATAAGGAGGAAAAACGGGTGGGCGAAAGAGGGAGAACGGCTTTGTAGAAGCAAATGGTTTGGGCTGATAAGACATGAAACACTTCGCACTGGAGCCAAAAAGGCAGACAGGACATGGTATGTAAGCCAGTTAGCCAGCCAGTGAGAAGACAGGCACCCACATGGACAGTCACCTATCTGTCAAGAAATTAATTCAGGCTGCCAACCAGATGCTCAATCAGTTCAGCATTTATAAAGCCAGACTCTCACGTTACGGGGTAGCCAACCACTGAGACATTTAATAAGCCTGCGAGCCATCCATTCAGATGGCCAGAGAAGCAAGCCAGGCCGTCGCAGCCTGTTTCAGTCAGCAAAATTGGTCAATCAGTGCACTCATTTATTCATTACCGCAATTATAGTACATAATCATCTATCTAGTCTCATATTTGGCCAGTAAGTCATTATGATTATCTTGCAGCTATTTAGCAATAAAGAGAGCAAGGCAGTTCAGCAGTCAGTCGGTCAGTCATTCTAACAGTAAACAATTTAGCAGACGAAAGTCATTCGGTACCCAGTCTCTTAGTCACAATTGACAGTCTGTAGGCTGCAGTTAAAAGGCTTTTCCAATTAAGTCCTCCAGCCACAATGACTGTCAGCTGCAGAGTAAGTCATTCTTCTAGGTAACTAAACAGCAAATAAGCCTTGCTGTCTGTCCAGCCAATGATTCAACCACCACACTCTTTGTGCATCAAACAAACTTTAAGTTTGGGTTGATCGTGTTACATCTTTTTCAACATCTTTAGACGCTTGCATACTTTCTTCTATCTTTGTCATTTGACCTACTTAATAGGATCTCATAAATAATGTAACTCTCTTGATTTTCTATCTACAGCTCTATGAATGAGTGTCCTGCATCCTGATGAAGAGCTGTGTGGAAGAAGGTATATTGACCTCTCATTCATGGGCGTAGTTTCCACTGGGGACAGGGGGGACATGTCCCCACCACTTTTCAAAATCCCATTTGTGTCCCCCCCACTTTTCAAATGTGTTTATTAAGACTGAGAGGCTGAGATAACGTCAGTTTAGCCGATGTAAAGGACTCGCTGAGTGATTAGATTGTAAACTTTAGTCTAAGTTATCTCAGTGGGTCTCAAACGGTTTGGTCATCTATGTAAAGAAATATTTCCATCTATTTAAAATAGTTGTTCAAAATAAGTTAAGAAATCATTCCAATGTCAGTAAAAAATTAAAAGACACAGTTTAAAAGGGGAGTGATTAGTAAAATATGCATACATAAAAAGAAAGAATGCAGACTAGGTACGTTTAAGATAGGAGAGAGGAGTACAGTATATCAATTATGTGTTATTGGTTGTGAGCATATTCTAATAGTTTTTGGAATATTGAAATATATACAGTTCTGTTTCATATGAGTGTTGAGAGCTGTATCCATAAATATTTTAATTTTGCTCTCAAAGTGCACCAGATTGATGCTTTTAACTTCAATTTAAAGACAAAAATCTTCTCCTCATTATATATACTACACATTTTTCTTGGATTTTTTAACACCATAGTCCCTAATATATTCGTAGAAAGGCAGGAAATTGAATTAAATTGAGAAAAATGTTTCATTGCGGAGGACCCCCTGTTTTGTGTCCCCCCCACTTCTCAAACCAAAGTTACACCCTTGCTCTCATTTATAGACATACTTTTTGGGAAAGTTTAACAGTTATTGGACTGTGTGCAGATTCTTTTAAGCTCTTTGTTTGATAATCCAGCTATTGAAATCATTATGTAAATGAAAATTACATTTGCTTTAAGTAAAAATATCGTTTTTTATGCTAATATCATATTTAAGACAATTAAACATACAAAATCACTTCACAAGCATTTTGTAGGCTCTAATGAACTATTGGCAAAGCAAATGCAACAATAGATTGTCATTGTTAACTAGTGCAGTTAGTATTCACTAGTAGAGGCACATGCTGACAGGCTTAACAATCAGTCCTCTTCAATGCACTTTGCTTCAATGCTTATGTAAAAGTTAATAAGACAAGACACACATAATGGTGTCATTACAATGTGAAGTGTGTTCATCTTTTGTGCGTCAGACAAACACCCATAGCGATTAAAACCTTTCTTTTTAGGGCACTCGCTGGAACTAAAATACAGCCGAGAAAAGGTGATCGAGTGAGCATGACTAAGTCGATTTACAGAGTGGCGAAGCAGAAAGATGATGATTGAGGGCGGGTAGTATCAAAAAGTGTGGTATGAAAAATGCAGGAATGACGCCAAATAATTTCCACATAGTTCTCTCCTTACCAAAAATCGAACTATTCATATTTAGAAAAAATATAGATCTGTGGATGGTAATTTGTCTTGCAGGTTTGCTGTAGTGTAGCAGGGGAGTTAGTCATTATTATGGGGAGGGAAAATAGTCTGAATAAAAAGGGCCTGATGGTCTGGAGATTTTTCTATGTGGCCAAATGTCAAATCTTGACAGAATCCACAGAATTCCTTGCAGAGCTCCAGTCCAGCTGTGACTTTTGTCGTGACAAAAAGATAGGAGCATCCCATAGGTTCAACACAGGGTGGCTGTGAATCTCCTTCTCATCCGTTCAATCACTCTTTGCCCTTTATTTTGTGCTAATGCATTGCAGACCCTTTCCTAACAAAGAAATAACTTAAAAATCACATTTGTAAACCAAAAATAAACAGAAGCCATTACAACAAAGAAAAAAAGTGCACACTGAGTCTTTGTACAGAGCTTTAGAGACACTCAGTCTATCAGTCTGTCCTCTTCGAGGGTTTTGGAGCCTGTCGCTCTGTCTGCAGACCCGGCATCAGTGTCGCAGCAGAGGCTTCCTCATCATCAGAGGCTGCAAAGAGGAGGAGGTGGCTGAGCTAACGTTAGCCAAGGCCTGCTGAGGTCACCATCCACATAAAAATATGCAGGTGGGGGAGGCATGGAGGTAAGAACGCGGGAAGACAGACATGGGTGGGAAGATATAGGGGAGGAACAAACACCAAAAATACGTATGCAGTAATACCAAAGTCTAATTTGCATATATATTTCAACCACATAAAATGAATGTAATAAGAGACACAAGCCACAGGAACAACAAATGAGTGCGATATGTTCCTACAGTAATGCTATATTAACATATTCAAAATAGGACTTTGACGTAGAAAAATAACTTGCCCTTTCATTTTTTTGACTGTGATCATGTGTTTGTATTTTCTTGTCTTAGGCCAGGCTGTAGGCACCACTCTGCACACTGCACTGATGTTTAACACATTGCTAGTTGGAGTGTGCAGGCCTGCAGGCGGGACTTTCACTGGGGACATTTAGTCCAACTGAATTCATATTTCTGAACTCTTTCCTGTGTAACCTTTTCCTCTGTGCAGAACAGACTGGTGACTACCACCTTCGGCCACCAGAGGCACTGAAGACTTTCAACATATTATAGTGTCTTTGAACATGTTATAGGTATAAGCACTGCAGTACAAATACAGATATTTTGGTCATACTTAGAAGTTTGCTGGATAAAGCAACGTAGCTAGAAACAAAATGCTGAATTGATGTAGTTGAAGCATCTGTGGCTTGTTTTATATCTGGGCTCAAATTAGTCTTTTGAGTTGCTTTCACTTGCATCATTTTGCATGCCCAATTGAATTAGTCTGATTGCATTTACAGGAAGGGGATGGCCACCATAAAAAGACTGCAGATGGGTGAAGTGAAATCAAATGTAAGCAGAGGATGTGCACAAATCCACCGATTAGCCCTCCTTTATCCATGTTTGTAGAAGAAATAGAAGTAATTACACTGAACTGCAGACTGGTGTCTATGTGGAAGCCATTACAGGACACTGGACTAAGGTCACTTCTAAATGGTGATGTGAGGCCAGTTTTAGATTTGCCTACTAATGAGACATTAGTGCAATCTTCCAGCTGGACGAGTGCCACTCCTTCATGGCTGTGCTCTGAGAGCTCTCTTCAACTCACACAGCTCATCCTACTCCAACCTCATTTTTCTTTGACATTAATAAAAGTCAGACGCATCACATCTTAAAGTTTAACGTTTTGCCATGACTTTCTGTGAGCAAAACTCCAGCCTCCAGCCTGTGGTTCAACCTTAAATTATATTTGCATGTCTTGTACAGTGACATTCTCACCTTTTCTATATGTGACCAATTAAAACAAAGCAATGCCTACTGAAAACTTGAATGTTTACTGATTACAACCAATAATGAATGTTTTTCTTTGCCTTAATTGATTGAACAAAATGCAAGCAGTGGAACATTTGAAAGATATGTGCTTAAGTGGAATATCTCCTTTTTCTTATAGCTTCTAAATCATCTTGTGAGCCCTAAGATGCGTTTTCTAACCCATTGGTTCCCAAACCCAAAATTGGGAAACCCCATACGACAGCACCTGTAACACCTTCTTTGTTAAGGCTTCACCCATTGTTACTTTTCAATCCGTCTATATTTCATGTCATTTCTGGCTTTCTAGTTAGAGCGGAGCACGACTCCTGACTTTTCCTTATGTTTTTTATTTTTATTTTGTTTTTTATATATATCTGTTGTAATTTATTGTCGTTTTATTGTGATTGTAGTAATGTGTTTTTATTACATGTACAGCACTTTGGCTCGACCAAAAATCGCTTTTAAATGTGCTATATAAATAAAACCTGATTTGATTTGATTTGATTTGATGTCAAACTAATTAGAATTGAAATCTTGGCATACCCTCTTCCCTCTCTTTCTCATTGCATGCACCTAATTTTGGAAGATGTCAGATTATTTTTAATCAAGCACCAATGTAACATTAATTATTAACAGAATTAATATTAATCACCTTTTGGGCACCAGATTTGTATTCCCATTTGCATCTCCATGAACTTCAATAATCTATATGAGGCAACTGTGAGCTTTGAAGCAAGGTGTGGGTGAAATGAAGTGGTGGATGTGAACGGACTGATGTTGAAGGACAGCTTCACCCAAATGAATGAAGAAATTAAAGCAGTCTGAGGGTACATTACCATGATAGTTGTCACGACTACTGTTCGGTTCTCCATCGACGTGCTGTCATTGGACAGAACGTTTTCATTCTGGACCAACACAAGTTTGTCTATGTCATTCCAGTAGCCAATCTGAGGGAAACAGAGTGATAAAAAGAAATATCAAATATATCAGTCTTTGTAGTGAAAATCATTTTAATATGACATTTAAAATGTGTACAGTGAAATCAAGTTGGTCCTCAAACAGATACATAAAAAGGAAAATGAGAAATGATGAAGAAGGGATAAAAAGTTAAAAAATAAAATAAAATATTCAACAGAATGATCTCACTCTGACATATTTCCCATTAGAACTGTAGAAGATACTGAGAGATATTGAATGTGAGCGAAGAACCTTCAATAAACACATATCGCCATCAAAGGAACACTTGAGAAGCTGGAACATGGTGTTATTTCTTTATTATCGGCGCTATATGTATACTTTTCTTCCAGTAAAGAGAAATTATGAGTACTTCCAACCTGAGCCTTATCCTCCTACTTTTTGCTATTCCGAAGAAGGATTATGCTCAAACTTTTGCTATTTGTGTCACTGCAGAGCTTTATGTAGCCCCAGGTTGAGTTGTACCTGCTCCCCAATGAGTACTTGAGAAAAGCTATTAAAAGTCAAGCTGTGTTGGTCCAATAGAAGCTATATAAACATATAGGCATATAAAGGCATTAGGACAGTTATTAATTAAGAATCAAGGAGATAACTATGAAGTTAATTATTTTCTTTTAACAATAAATATTGATTGAATAGAATAGGTTGGCTGTGGTAGGGGTTTGAAGTTGTTCAAACCACACAATCAAAGTGTTTTTGAATTGTTTTTAAGTCGTGAGAAGTGCCTACCTTGCGTGGTCCGTTGCTCTTCAGTTCAAACACATCCATGGTGTAGTTCACCCTCCGACCGTAGTGATCAAACTGAATGTTCCCAGTCAGGCCCTGAATGCGCACCTGCATTTACAACAACAAGGAAAGTAAGGACTGGAGGAATATAAAAAAAGAATACACTAGTAATGTTGAGTATTTTTTCTAGGGGTGATTTGGCAATGCTTTTATATTATATATTGTAACAGAAATGAAAGTGTTGTTTAAAACTCTTTAAACAAAGGTTATATATGTGTAAAGTGCAGTCAAACAAACAGTGGTTTTACAATTCATATTATTTTAAACGTGAAGCAGCATCAGAGTGATCAACTCAGTAACTTGACGAAGAGTCAGCATTAAGGTTCATATCATAATATTTAAATTAATTATACACTACAGTACCTTATTACATGTATTATTACATGCATTAATAGGTTCCTGCAGATCCTTTGCTAAGGCAGGCAATCTAAATCCAGGGCAGGAATGGCGGACACTGATAACTACTATATGTGTTTTTAGATTATCACTGAATGTAAAAAATGCATACAAAATTGAAACCGTAAAAAGGAATAGAAATAGTTTGATTTTATGAAAACCTTAGACCCTATCAATGTACCCGAAAGTATAGCCATACAAGTTTGTGTGTCAAGTGTGTGTGTTTGGACTTTGGTGGGTACTCTATCAAAGTCCAAACAAGAAAACACATAAATGTCGAAATAGATTTCTGGTATACTTTCCCCTTTTCCATGCCAGCTGTTTTTCTGATTGCTTTTTGTGTGTGTGTATGTGTAATGTGTATGTGTGTGTGTGTGTGTCTGAGTGCAACATCTGTCTAAGCACTTTGCAACCTGTCTATCCTAAACTATACAACCTTAAACCTGTGCTAACCTGTTTGAGTGCACGCTCCATATCTATTCCCTGGTTCCAGGGAGCAGCTGGGTTAGCCAGGCAGTCCCCAGCGTTGCCACGGCGACTGATATCAATTTTCTGACGGCGAAGGGTGCGGAAGGCCTCGGACATCACAAGGACGCCATCATATGTCAGAGATGAGGTATACTGAAGAATGAAGGAAACAAGAGACATTTTATAATTTTGACATGGTTTTGAACTTTTTTTTGTCAGTACACAGTATGACAGAAAGTTATCCTGTCAAACGTTTAATTCTCAGGTAATTCAAACAACTGAAACCCAAATATATTTTAAAGATGTGTTTGGTGCTCATTGGCTTTTTACAAAAGCATCCACATTTTCTTTACAGTGATCATAGGTTCCGCATCATACTCCGCTTTCTGGATGAGAAACACAGCAATGAATATATGTTTCCTGTGATTTAAAAACCCAAATGAGAATATGCTAATGTTGCTGTACCATATGTCAATATGATTTATTCAGTAAATGAGACATAACTTAATCCAAGCTGTATAACATTTGACCATCTTAACTCCATATGAATACCCTTACCGGTGTTTAAAAATGCTGAGCCTTAATCCATCTCGCTAACAGTCTGACTTTTATTTGACATCAACACTTAACACCGGTGAACATCAATCAACATCACTGTAAATGTAACATCACTGTAAAGGTGCCACTTCTAGACAGGCTTATAGTTTTCGAAAACAGTAACTGGGGCATTAAAGTTACATTAAAACAGGTTTAAATTATATTGCATTGCCATTATGTCAATCCACTTTGTTAAGGTACTTCCTTTGAAGGTGGAACTTTCCTTTCCAATATGTATAAATGTTCATTTTATTACATGTAATCATTTAATAAGATGTGGCACTTCAAACGTGAGTTAAAACGGGGACCTTTTCAATGTTACATTAAGTAAGAAAAAGGGAAAGGGTAAGAGATTACAAGATTTGTTCTTTAATGAAACTCTTAAATGTAGTGGTGATCTTGACAGATTGTTTGACGAATTCATTACAGGGAAGAGACAGCGCAGCGAGGAAGAGCACCACACTCAGCAGCAACAAACCCATCCAGCCCACACACACTGAAGCACGGCGCCTGGCAGACAGACAGAGGCAGTCAAACACACAGCGGGCGCCTTCACATCACAGCAGTGAAGAGTGGTGAGATAAAAATGGGAGGAAAGAGGGAAGTCGGCTGAGACTCTGCCGATGCTCTCCACGCCTCTGCAGGTCTCTTACTGACATCCCTTGATTTGAATCCCATGAGGTGTGTTTTGGAAGGCTGCAAAACCATGTCATTCTCCTTTCATCTCTCCCCGCTGAAACTAAAGAAGCCTTTAGGCGTGCGACTGACACATGACGACTATGGGATCAGATTCAAGGAGAAAACAACAACAAACGTGAGCCAAGCATTTTGTGTCTGTTTCTGCAGCAGGAGAGACATAAACACCTTTGGTACTTTTGGGAAACAGTAATGGCTTTTAGAAAGAACACCTCTTTGTTATAGATATTTCTTGGATTGCTTTAAATCTCCAAGTTCAGCTAAAATCCAACAAGTCAATACTGATTTTGTCTGTCTCTATCATCATCTAAAATAAATCCAGTGCAAAGACTGCGTACACTACGTGCTTTTGAAGTACTTCATTATCTCACCATAGACCTACGTACCTAAGAGAACATAATATAGCAAAGGCTGTGTTAATCAAAGTAAGAAAAAACACCACAAAGCTAATTCATTATCGCTGTTGTGAACACGCATATTCAATTAATACAATTAGCTCTGCGCTGGTGTCTGGCAAACATTTAATGTTTTACACATGGGCAAATATTGATAAAGGGAGCCCATAAGCTGTTGAATATGCTAACACACATGTTGTATATGCTAACACAGATGTTGTAGACCTATTCATATTCTGATTATGCAATTAGGGGACATGATTAATTTGATATTTGAATAGAAAGCAAAAAGGCTGTACCTTATATATATATATGTGTGATGATCACAAGCAGTTTGCCTCACTTTTTATGAAGTTAATATATTTCTTTGCCAGGTCACTGATCATTTTCATTACACTTCAACAAAATCTCCAGGCACTCCAGAACTCATTTCGGGGCACAGCAGCTGAGAATCACTAGGTTAAGAGATTTTGATTGATGGCCAAAAGCACAGAGCTAGCTCCAAATGCAGTCTCTAGTGTGCCGGGGACATGTCCCTGTTGGGTTTTTCACGCCGCACATTATTACACCAGAGTTCTACTTGGCCTGAGGCTACAAGTTGGCCCAAGGCTAACTGAGCTCAGCTTTTACACAGCACAAATTAGCCTAGAGCCATTTGGAAGCATCTGTTGTCACTAGAGATATCTGGGTTTGTGTCATTTCATTAAATCATTAACATTAAACCCAAGTTTCCTTGTTTGCAAAAAGCAGGACAAATATTATTTGGAAGATAACATTTGAGTGCACTTCAGATATGTTCAGGAAGTTCAAGAAGTGGACAATAACTAAGCATGTTCACTGTGTAAATCTTTCACAATCACGTGTAAATAATTGTACCCCCATTAACGGCTCTCGTGTACATGTGTGGATTTATGCAGCCGTCATGCACTAATGCAAAGTCATCAGGTCCATCTAAGAATGAGGACTGGCCAACTAACACTTGTCCTTGTGTGAAAGAGGACATTCCAATAATAAAAGATTATGACCGTCAATATAGTTGCAGCGTTGAACATGCGTGTGTGTGTATGTGTATGTATTTGTGTGTGTCTTTCCGAGAGGGACTGCAAGTTGGGTGTGAGCCATAGAGGAAACTACAGATAGCTGCTGTATGATGTCTTTTTAATGGGTAGGTGGACACATTTTGATTTAATATATGCACAAATCAAGCGCAATTGGCAGCAGGTCAGTGTCCGGTCAAAGGAGGTGTGGATAGAAATAGAGGTGCGCTAATGTGACAGAAAAAGGGACATTTGCAGTGAGAGGAAATGGACACTCAGGTTGGTGAATAGAGAGGGTTATAAGCACAGTAAGGGCAGTAAGAGAGACTATTGAAGCAATGAAGGGGAAAATGTTCAACGTAGTGAGTCCCTGTGACCTACAGCAGGTCATTTGAGTGGATCTAAATGAAATAGAATAGCAGCCAATAAAATGTGTTTATTTTGATGCATTTTCAAATCAGATGTTTGATGGTTATAATTTTCTTTATATTCATAAATACTGAAAATTAACCTGAAAATTAAACAAATATAATTCCTAAATGAAATAAACAGATACAAATGAAACATTATTAAATGTAAACGTTAACATAATAAGAAAGTATGTGAAATGTAGCTTATATAAAAAGTCGCCCCCTAATAGTCTGGTGGTACAATAAGATGAGAGAAATATGGTGCAGAAAGGAGATTTAGTCATGTTGCCCATCTCAGTTTACTCCCCTGCCCTGCATTAAGTATGAGTTTATATACTATAAAGAAACAACTTGCAAAATGCCATGCACAAGCTTTTAAGATTGCAGTCTAACCGTGTGAAAAAGGACCTATAGCCAGGTGCAATTGCAGCCACAAGTTCATCTTTATCTAGCTGGTATAAGAGCATACAGTATGGCCTGAGTGAGAGTGTGGATGAGCGACAGAGAGAGGGTTAATGCGTTCAGAGAGGAAATAGAGTTTGAATCTGCATGCATCACGTTAATCATACAACAATTGATGTATTCAATCATAGTAGGATCAGCCAATTCACCTCTCCAACAGCCTGAGGTCACACTCTGATTGGCTTAGAAGCTGTACCAAATGCACCATATCACACTCTGAATGGTTCAAATGCAGCATATCACCCTGTGATGGGTTACCTGTGTAAAGAGGCTGCACATTTGGTTTCCATAGTGAATTTCAGGCATTAAGAAGAATTTCCACACTAATGTCATGTGTGCGTTCACTGCAAATATTTTCGTGTTTTGTATGGTACCAATATCATGGAAAATAGCTTAATTGAGTACAGTTCTGCATTTTTGTTTCCTGAAAGAGAAGTGGCCTAAGGTAGAACATTTCCATAACATAACCCGCTATTTCACCAATTAAAAATTATATTTGTTAAGGTAGTGGCAGCTTGTTCCTCTCCTTATGTTTAAGTATGAGACAGCATATTGTATCACCTTAGGTGGGCTTTCAGATCCCGGGTACTCTCGCTGATCCAGTTTGTTCCAGCGCTGCATCAGTTTAATAACGATAGGCCTGCTGAAGTCCACCAGCTGGAAACCAGTCACATTGGCACCGCCATGCATGAACCTCTCCAGAGATATGTCCTTAAATCCCTGTGAAGGAGAGATGGAGAGATAGTGAGAGAGGGAGAGAGAGAGAGAGAGAGATGTAGAGGTGAAACATGGGATGTTGCAATCACAGAGTGGAAGTGTACTACAAAATCCTCTGACATTGTGTGGACCTCTGCTGACAAAAATCATATTTCCTCAAACTGCAAACGTTTATTTGATTATTTTTACCCCCACTGAATATGGAGTGACTTCTCCAGCTGAGAGAGTGAGCTCATGATGAGTGACACTTCGTAGTTAAGTGCTCCTGAAGAGGGATCCATTTGGGAACAGGCCAAAGACAGAGGTGGAGACATGTGAGGGTGATCTTTGGGTGATGGATACTAATTGCTGAAAGCTTATCCTTGACCTGAGCTCAATGGACCCTTTTTCACAGTTTCAAAGAGAATTGCGGTGGAACAGATTGTAAAGATTAAGGTTAAAGCGATACTTCATGTCGTGAAAGAGAATTCCAGCTGCTACATGTAGCTCTGACTTTGTTGAGGAGAGATAATGTGAAAGGGACAATGGAGGGAGTTTTAAAAAGATCAATATGGAACCAAGAAACATGGTTTATTTTACTGCTAATAACCGCAAACAAATCTACTTTGGGATGAGTAAAACACTTTTTTATAATAATAGCTTAAGAGCAGGGATTGTATTTGTATTGCTTATTCCAATTTTTAAGACTTCATATTGATCCTATTTGTTTGTCTTTTTGTTAGACATCTCGAAAAATAAAACAAACAGAGCAAAGGAATGTTATCAAAGGTTCTTACCAGGTTGGCTACGATGTAATGGTAACCTTTCACATGTTTCCCCACACTGACAGCCTGGAAAGAAAAACAGATAAAGATTATAAATGTCTTTGCTATCAAATGATAATGCATGTAGTGTTTAGGATTCACATTAAACGATGCACCATTGAATTACCATGCTTGATAACATACTGTAAAGTTAGTTTCAATTTAGTTTAAGAACATGGGAGGGGGAGTCCAACTACAAATAATAAAGAGACTCCCTCCCATCTGTGGCTTTGGTTATAGTCAAACTGATTAAAAGCAGAGTGAGGACCGTGGTACCACACTGGCTCAAACTCTGCTGCCTCTTGGAACGTTTAGAGAGCTGCTGCAATGTGTTGGCTCCGTTAGGGCTGTGTTAATCCGTCCAGCCTGCTATAAAGTTGTTATTGTAAGACAAATGGAAATAACCTTGCTTTTATTTACCAATGTAGACTGTTTTCAACCAAGAACACACACAAAAAAACCTGTGAAGTCCAACTTCATGTAAAAACCCCAAGTCGTGCAGGAAGAATGATTTAACTTGTTTTGGGATAACTGATGATTGCCTTTCCTTTTTGTACACAAAATAGTCTTTTATATAATAAGTGGGAACATACGTACAAAAACACCTTTTTAACGCTTTTCAGCTATCCCAACAACAAACCAGCTCGTCCAAGATGATCCACTTCATCTACTGAAATTGCATGGCTAACAGTATGGCATAGTAGGGAAGCAAAGTTTAATTTGACTCAACTTAGAAATCTCTGTTACATCTGGACATTGGGATGTAGAATAAAATATGAACATTGTTAGAGTTTTGACAAAAGAGGAAAAAGGCTCTCCAAATTAGCGGGGTGCCTTAACTTAATTAATAAATTGCTTAGATCTTTTTCATTCTGTTTCTCTCACCGCCACATATCAACAGCTAAGTACTAACACATACAGATGCTCCCATGAACACGCACACAGAAACACACACATCCCCACATCCCCACACACACACACACACACACACACACACACACACACACACACACACACACACACACACACACACACACACACACACACACACACACACACACACACACACACACACACACACACACACACACACACACACACACACACACACACACACACACACACACACACACACCGCAGCTGGCAGGAGCAGTCAAACAGAGCAGTCTCTGTCCCAGAGCATGGGCACTTGCCAATGCCAGCACTGCAGAACGCACTTTGTCGGGAGTGTGTGTTTGTGTACGAGTGTCTGTCTCATTATGTACTTGTGTGTGTGTGTGTGTGTCTCTGTCTCTCTGTTCACTTACAACAGCAGCCAATTAAGGAAATGTCTTGTCTTTCTATCAGTCTGGGATACTGTGATAAGTGTATATGTATGTGTGTGTGTGTGTGTGTTGTATGAGTAAGTGTATTCGAAAGCTGGTGTGTATATTATTTGTGCGTATATTGTGCACTGGTATGTACTGCATTATTAGCAATATGAGAGTTGTGTGTGTGTGTGGGAGGGGTAGCCAATTATATGTTAGCACTAGAGTTTAGCTGTTAGTGTCACTGAGTTTGTCATATGTGCAGACAGAGGATCACATGTGATGACAGGTGACTCACTCACTCACTCACTCACTCACTGTATCTGAGTGGACAGTATGGTGTGTTCTGCAATCATAGCTGTTGGAGAAGACACATTTTTCACTCCCTGTTATGAACTCCAGGGATAAACTAAAATCTTGTTTTCTCTCCAGATGTCAGAAAGCATAAGGAGTGCTGTGGCAACTGGCTGAGAGAAGTAGTCAGCAGGCAGACAGACACCAGTAATGCAGTGAACAAAAACAATATGGGGCGCTATAACTGGCAGCGCAAGATAACTTGAATTTCTTAAAAAGGTTCTGCTTTTAATTACTTCCCAAAACAGCGTTCTCTGTTGTCTGTGGCTTATTGTGGTGTGTTTGCGGCTCATTATTCCGTGTTAAGAGCTGTTAAGTCCAGTTCAATTATGTAATCTCTGCCCCTGTCTGTTAGAATCTGAGCGATAGTAAGAGTGCATCTTTAACCATAGTGTGGTCTCAATATAAAGCAGTATCTCATGATCTAAAATGCTTCAGGGTCTTTCAGGTTCCAGATCATTTTCAAATATCATCCTGTGCCTGCAGTAAGCTAGCAGGGTTTTTCTTTCTTTCTTTTGTGTGCTCTAGCTGGGTACTACAGTGTTTAGTAAGGCACTATGTAATGTACAGCAAAAGCCGTCAATAACCACAACATTAACAAGTTTAATTTAAACTCAACTTATAAGTACATTTTCGAGTTAATCAGTATATATATTTGTTCTCCATCCTACCATTTACGCGGCACACAAGCCCAAGAATACTATTTCTTCTCATAAATGGTTGCATTTTGATGTAAGGTGCTTTTACCTGCCAGATTACTTCTCTCATCACCAATCTTATTATAGTTTGTGTAGCAGCTTCATATTTTCTGTCCGGTGCAAAGTAACTTTGGTTTGAAGTATTATGATATTACCTGTTCTAGGATGCTCTGTAGTCTCTCAGGCTCCAGGTCAAGAACATATTTTCTCTCCTGACGTCGGTCCAGGTCCTCTAAGAGTCGGCGGTATGCAGCCTCATTGAAGCTCTCCACACAGATAGCACTCACCTGGGTTAACATATATACATACATACAGGAAGTGTGTGTAAGCATATAACAAACACAACAGTATCGGATAAATGTCATGAACACACGCCAACATTTCTTTAAGAATTGTGTTTGAGGAATGAAGTACAAAAACATTGATGTGATTAAGTGTGGTGGCTTAACATGAGATGATGAGTGTCCTTGCACGCTCCTGCCTGTTTCCAGGAATCTGTGTGTCTGTGTGTGTGTGTCCTGACCTGCCATCCGTTCTGCCCCGCTCTCTCCATAATTGCCTGCAGTATTGCATAACCTAGACAACAGAGAGTAAAGGGAGAAAAATGGAGAAAGAGAGAATTAATACAGTCTTCTTGGCATGTGGGGTTGTAATATATTGCATTTTTTGCAAGTTATGCTTTTCTTTGGTTTTCCCTTTCCTGTAGTGCATGTACATGGTCTGGTCTCCCACACACTCCCCTCTGCCTGACACGCCTCAATTGTAGTCCTTTTTTTCACTTCAAGGACGTACTGTAGTGACATCACTATGTAACACTCATCGTTCTTTTGGCTAGCGCTCAAACACATTGTACATGATAGGCTAAGGGGTGGAACATGTCGAAGTGGTTGACCAATCACAACAGAGCCGGCTAGCTATCAGAGCAGACTGGGCTCTGGTTTCAGACAGAGGGTGAAAAAAGATGCTGCAGCACAGGCAGTATGAGAATAATAAAGCACTTTATGAACATTAAAGCATGTTCCCATGTCACAGAAGAGGCACAAAATACAAATATGAAACCTGAAAATGAGCATAATAGGGCCCCTTCACACCAGTATTTCCCAAATCTTTGATGTGAAATTATATCCAGCAGATTTATCAGTCCATTTTATTTGACAAAGCAACACGGTAATGTTTTCTCTTCAAAAGGGGGGGCAAAGCACTTAGCACTCAAGCAACACTCCTTCTTGTATGTCACGTTATCAAACAGCTCAGAAAGCTTATCAGAACAAAGAGTTATGTGCCGACACAATGGAGACTGTTGATAGTGACATTTCATTGACATTAAACTTCTCATTGCCTCTTGTTCTAAAGTGAACTTTGATTAAAATGCACTTGATCTGATAACACGCTTCCACTTCAATCAACTCATCATTTTGATATCCTGGAACCAAACACAGTAAGGACATGTTTTTCTTCCACACAGTAACGGAGGATTAAATCAGGTGAATGTGACTCTCTACGTGATATAGGGTACGTTTCACATTTAATATGCAGCTGGTGGCCACGCAAGCAATGATGAATTAATGTAAATGATACGGGGAAGTGGAAGAAATAACATAAATGGGAGACAAGCCAGGATCACATTATTGGCACACAGCTACTGAATGTTACCATGAGGATAGTTGTAATCTCTATCAAATCTCCAAGTATTTTGTTGAATCTGCTTTGAGCTAGAATGGATTGTGTGGGGAATAAAACGGAATAATTTCACACTTGACTCAAAGTCACATTTATACACACAGCATATGTCTTTATGACACTGACATACACAGACACTCACAACAAGACAAAATGAAACACACACACTGCAGCGCAACAGTTCCAACTGTTATCCGTTTTATTTTTCTGCTTATGTGGAGATAGCAATTTACTGCTTGACTTGAAACAGAAAGCACAGCTGAAGCCTCGGTAATCAAGGTGTGTATGTGTGGGAATGTGAGTGTATTTCTGTGTGGAGTCTATATTCATGTGTGCAGCTTGTTCTTTCACCATTCCTGCCACAGAGAGATTTTGTGAAAAGGTTTGTCTGAGTCCTAAATTATTGTATTTGTGTTCAGTGATACACTAGCTTAGAGTCGTTTATGTGTACATGTTCGTTTGAACTGTTGAATTTGCATTATAATTCATTTCACTCAGCTGACACTTTTATCTGGATCACTTATGGGGTTAAGAATCTTGCCCAAGGACACTACGATATGTTGACTGCAGAACTGGATTAAAATCAGTGACTCTCTGATATATACACTTATTTTACCCCCTGTGCCACAGTTGCCTTATTTATCCATTAATGCACATTCAGATGTTTATTACATACATCTACTGCATGTTGTATAAACATTGCATTTGTATGCTCATGTGCAGGTTTCTGGACAATTTGTGTTTGTGAGTGTGTGTCTGCAGGCTGTCTGTGGAGCAGAGCAGTGAGCATAAAACTGATATCAGTGTTACTGCCCATTTTCCAGCACATTACCGGCAGCAGGGCCTGATGGGAGCCTATAATGAAGGGCCCTGCTTTGGCCAAGTTAAGGGTGAGCAAAGTCTAAACTCTAGGCATCCATCCTCCGTTCCATTTCTCCCTCCTTTCTCTCCATCTTTACCCCCTTTCCTGTAATATGCTACTGTATATCCCCAAAGGCTTGTGGTCCTGTCTGTCCTCTTACGACTCCTTCCTGTCCCTAATGTAATCTCCCCCCTGCCTCCCTCAGGCGCCTCTCATCTACTTCAACTTTGTCCTCTTCTCCCGTCACCTTGTTTATCTCTTCCTGAAATTTCTCGCACCTGTCTTTCCTTCTTTCTCTCTTTTAGGCTCTCTCACAGGCTTGAATCACCTAACTTAACCCTCCTGCTTCCCCTTGTCTCTCCTTTTTCTTCCTATGCTCCTAGTTGTCTGGGTTAGTACCCGGGGGGTGCAGAGGAAGAAAAAAGGCTGGCAGAAGCACAGAGCACAGACAGACACACAGGCACACACAGGCACACACAGGCACACACACACACACACACACACACTCACACACACTGTGCAGCTCACTGATTTCCTAACACGCCACTATACCATGGTCTGGGGATTCTGTGTCATGTTTGACCTGTGTTTCTCTCCCTGTGGCGGGGACTTAGTTTGAGCGTGTGTGTGTGTGTGTCTGTGTGTCTGTGTGTGTGTGTGTGTGTGTGTGTGTGTGTGTGTGTGTGTGTGTGTGTGTGTGTGTGTGTGTGTGTGTGAGTTTGTGTGTGTGTGTGTGTGAGAGAGAGAGGGAGAGAGATAACGTGCCAAGCATTCCCATGACAGTGGTTAGGGGCCGAGGGCGTCAGCTGTGCCTGGCCCCTAACTTACGTGCAGTGTATGATAGGATGGTTAAATTAAAGCCAGGTGAATGCTGCAGAAGTTGAGGCCAAACCCGACTTTCTGGCTCAAAGCTGCCAAATTACACTCCTGTTTCTGCGGCTGGATCCTTACATAAGGAGAGAAAATATCCAAAAGAACAACCTTTGTACTTTTTCAACGAGAAAACAAGGCTTCATTTGGGAGTTAAATTCAGGCCAAATAATCCCAGGCAAACAGACCTTTAAAGAGATTCTTACGACTTGATATAATGATATTATAATTTTGTTGCGTCATTTCAAACTGAACCCACATTTATGGATAATTATTCATGCAAAGAAAGTTATTTGGAACTAGGCTAATTTGGAAATCTGCTTTAAACTCCTTTAACTGTTTAATTTAAGCCCAGCAATAGAAGACAGTATATCTACTCAGTTAGGTCTTGTTATCAGACTTGACTAATCTCTGGGGGTACCATAAGGACACATCTTCACTACAGTCACATTCATTTGGACAGCTCTGGTATACAGTAAATGCAGACTATAATACTGAGTAGCAGCCCCTTTTGCGTACTACCCTATAATCCCCCAAGATGCCTCTGACCCTTTTCTTTTGAATCATACAGGGTTTAAAAGAAACTGCTTCTGCACTTTGATGTTAAAACTGGTGGAGTTTTATAAATCAACATGTACTTTGACTCACTAAATTCGAGCAATTTCTTCCTTCAATCCCTGAACCCAGAGAGAGAAAATAACTAATGTATTTGCTCTTTTGTACTCTTCACACCCTCACTTGAGATAGTAATTATTCCATTATTAGCTTATGAACAACACTGGTTGTGGGTATATATAAACTGCTTGCCTTGTAGTTCGGAGATGAATTGCTCTTGTATAGTTTCTGTTTGACTTATTTTCTAACTTTTATTTGATAAACGTATAATTATTTGTTGTCCCTTGTGCTGTAGAAATAACGCTTTATACAGTAGTGCTTTATATTATATTGGATAATAAAAGGAACAATCCGTTAAGGCTCCAACAATATTACTGGACGAATTGATGATTTCCCTGGAGGATTATTCCTGTTTATATGGAAACCCATTCTAAATCCTATACAAAATCCAAAGAACTTTCGCAAAAAATATATTTAAAGATATCCAATATTTTGACATTTGTTATTTTATTTGGAACACAAACTCTTGAATGTAACTTGTTAATGTATTCTTCATTGTGCTTTTACCTCTGTCTGTGTCGTAGAGGAAGACAAATCGGCTCCAGTCATAATGATCCAGAAGTGACAGCAAAGCCCCTCTGATGGAGGGCCGGAGCTGCAGGGTGAACTGAGCCTCTCCCTCGGTGGGGAAGCTGGGCGTCACCAGGCTGATGTGCAGGGCCCCACAGAACGACGTCAGCGTGTTCACCGAGCGCTTATCGTAAAGGCCAAAGATGGCGAAGACCCCTCTTGAATACTGAGAACAGACTGATGTGAGGAAGGAAGAGAAAATGAGGGCGGGTTGTTGGGGAGGGATTTCAAATGAAGGAAGTAAAAAAAAGAGGAGAGACATTAGAAAACACAAATGCACAGTGTAAGAAGAATGTGCAAACAAGAGGAAGGAAGGGAAAAGACACATGTTGCTTAATTCAAATTCACAATGTGGAATATGGTTCAACATTTAAACCGTTTTAGTGACTCTCAGATAATTAGGCTCTTTGAGTGGTACGGTATGTAAATAGTTTACCAAAACAAAGTCTCATCAAACTCAGATACATCTTGAAATAGTCATCAATCAGTTTTTTAAGAGCCTGAAAAATCTTTATTTGATCCAAAACAAAAAGCGACAGATTTGTGGCTTCAAATGAAAATCTCTCTGTTTTAGTACAAGCAAAACCATCCACACATACATGGGTGAACATTAGACAACCCTACTAGCCCCTGGCAAGCAATTTAACACTTTTTGTCACCAAATCGTTCCCACTAGCAAAACTGGCACGGCTGCTTATACAGTTGTTAAGGAAATTACAGTCAAATAATCCCACCTGCTTGGAGCCTAACATCCTTAAAATTCATCCATGCCCACACACACACATATACACACACCGGCAGATAAAAAAAACCCTTGACCAAGCTGCTTCAAATGTGAAGTCATTTTCTACTACAACGCTGGGACTCAGTCTTCAAACACCCCGCAGCTTTCAACCATGACAGAGCTGAGTGAAAAGCACCGACGCCCCCCCGCTATCGCGCTTATTCAAAAATCTTTCCTCTGCTACGGTTTGTCGTTCATCAGTGCGGCCTGATCACAACTATGTTTTAACACAAAAAAAGAAACCACTTAGGTGTTTGAGACAGAGAGAGAGAGTCAATCAAAATGTGCACACAAACACGTGTTTCGCTTTCTTAGGACTCAGCAAATGAAGTGACTACTCATTTTTCTTTTTACACTCTTTAATGGTTGTTTTTCTTTCATCCTCTTATATCATCCGCTCTCTCCTTTCTATTTCAGCCCCATTCATCCTTTCAGGCTAGATTCTTTCAGGCAAGCATGTTTTGAGCTTGAGCTCTATCCTGCGTCATAATTCACTCTCCACCCCGTAACACGTCACACTGGAGTAAACAGAAAGCCAGGGGGACTGCAGACTTTGCTTTTGGCAACAGCCGGCCATCACTGTAACCTTTTCTCCCTTTCTTGATCTCCTTCAGCATCACTACATCCCATACCTTTTCCCCCCCTCTCTTCTGTTTCCAAGGCGGACACTGCATCCATCCTCTTTCTTTCAGCTTCAAACATCATCGCTTCCCCCTCTCTCCCTTTGCGACTGCCTCCTCTTTTCTGTTCCTCCCTCTCTCCCTCCTCCTGGGACTCAGCGTAATTCCATTATCAGCTATAAGCCTCGGTGGGGGTATATACTGAGGGAGATGCAGCTTTGACGCTTTCGGCTTGTGGCAATTAAACAAAGCCAAGGCCCCTGCACCCAGGAGGCGATAAGGCAGAGGTTTAGCCTGAGATTATGACAGGAGCTAAATGTCTTCAATTCAGACAACTAGCATACGTACGTAGCATGCGTCATTCAGTAGGAGCTGAGTCATTGCGTCCTCAAAGTCAACAAACTTAGTGCTTTCCAGGATGATTTTTATTGCACTATCAGGTTTAATTTGATAGCTTAGATCATAGCAACATGACTTGAGAGATGGCGATGGAGATGAGACTGTGTGTGATGAACTATGACAGGTGCTATATTTTACAGTTCAGTACCTGGAATGCACAAAGATGTTCTCACTAAATCATTGAGTTCGACATTATAATGAGGTGCTCAGAAGGCAGGAAAAACTCATCTCAAATCTAAATAACAGCGAAATGACAAGGATTGAAGCAAAAAGAAAGCAGAGACAGTTAAGATGTTTCCTCATATTTAGTTTGATTGATTATACCTTCCATTTATTCGTGATGGCGGAGAAATGCTGTCTTTATCCTGTCTATGAATCATACATCTGAATTTATTTGACAGCATCGTCAAGGCAAATGGTATTCCCTTGTTTCTAAATTAAATTGTGTTTCTGGGACCAGCTGTTTGAGGACACAGAGCAAAAACTGAAGGAAGGCAGCAAAACAAGAGCAAGTATTGAAGTGACATGGAGTGTATTGCTTCTCCCATGTCGAATGATGAATTTCTTTTTGAACTTGACTGAAACAAATGGCCTAGATGCAGTTTGTGACAACACTGTCTGCACATTTTATTTTCCACCCACCTCCTGGGTCCCCATGAAAACTATAAGGAAATATTGGTAGTGTTAATCCCAAACCATTCTATTTTTAAACACCAAAACATCTGCAACCATACACACAGAGGCCCAGAGCACATGACAAACAGCTCTATGTACGTCTCACTCTCTATTCATCTACTTTCCCTGTTTTCCTCGCCTATCATTCACCTCCTCAAATACCCTTATTTTCCACCTTCTGATTCTGGCTTTGCCTCTCTGACTCTCCATATCTGTTCTTTATCCCATGTTTCCCTTTCTGATGTCTCCATGGGCTTGTTTCCCTGCTACCCCCCACCCACCACCACCACCACCACCACCAGCCGCAAGGCAGGAATGTGCCAGACAGTGGCGTCATTGTAATAAAGTGTGTGCAAAGCTCGCTTCATAAAGCTTTAATGAGAGGAGGGGAATAGCGACAGGGTGCATCATCACCACAGTAAAAGCATCGGACACAATAGGTCTCCTGGGACTTCCTCTACCTCTCCTTGCCTCCCCTCACTTCTCTCAGAATCTCCATATGTTTGTTTTTTCTGTGTACACTTTCGTGTCTTTTTCGGGTTCTTAATTATTCCCTCTGTCTGTCAAACCGTGCTCTTTCTGTGTGCAGTCTTCTCCATAAATCTCTTTAAAACGACCCTCCTTTATCAGCATTATTCTATACAGTATATCAAGCCTAAGCATCCTTGTATCCTCCACTGCAGCGATCCCTGTCTCTCTGATTCATTTCATTTGTGTCTCTGTGCGTTTAGAGAGACCTCTCAATCATCTGCACACCCGGCACATCACTATATTTCTTCTTTCAGATTCAATTTGTCCAATTTGCATAAGAGGGAAGAAAATATGTTGCTCAAGCAGTATAATATTACACAGACAAACATCTAGCTCTCTTTGCTTCTCTGGAATTGTTTCCCATGTGTCTCCCCTTCCTCTCTCTCTACTTCCCACCTCCCCCTTCACCTCCCTCAGCATCGTGTTCCTGTCTTCAGTCCGGCTGCTTGTTTGTATTTCACATGACAGCAAGAACAGATGCTCACATATAAACCTGCTCCTGCTTTTACTGTCACTGCACTACACAACATCAAAAGTAAAACACACACTACACACATAGTCACCTATATGCACTTTGTACACACACAACCATAGCCCCCCCCCCCCCCCCCCCCTCCTCCATCACTGAACTTTCTGATTTGTAGTCCTGGTGCTGCAGGGGCTTCTCTCCCATTAGTCTGAACAATAACTCTCTTGCTGCAGACACACATTCTCCAGACCATCACAGAAACACCACGAGAACACACTGAGCGTTCATTACATGCAGGTAAAGGCCAAGATGAAAGAAGCACCTGAGTGAAAGAAATATACAAAATAGTTCAAAAGCCATCTGCCGTACTTTTCCTGGCAATGCCCAGGGCTACCTACAGTACAGTGCAGCATACTACACCAAGAGGAAGGAAGGTACATGTCAATAATAAGCTTTTATGAGCTACATAATTAGTGAGCACCAAGTGGCTTACACTGACATTTCATATTTCAGACATTTACAGTTGTAACCTCTAGGGATGTAGGCTCTAAAAGTGAGATGAATGATGACGCGTTCAGGTTATTTTGTAGTGTACCTTTTTCTTTTACTTAGGTTCTGTTTATTCCAGGTCCAAAAAATATATTTCAGTGAATCGTTGAACTTATTTACCCAAACAGAAAACAGCAACTGTTTATATTCTACTATTCATTTGTTTGACATGTTACTTTATGCTGAGAGACAATCACTGCCTGGATTCTGACTTCAGAACCATTTAAGGTGAAGTTAGACTACATTATGGCGAGGAAATGCCTGGCCATACTCACAGGGGTCCCTTGACCTCTCACCTCGAGATATTTAAATTAAAATGAATGTTCCCGCAAGTCATCCCTTTATAGTACATACATGCCCACTTAATGCTAATCCCATGCAGCCTTGGGAAAAATGATGTTTTTTGCATGAATTATACAGTAAATGTCTTATTTTCACCTTTTAACAGGTAGTGCTGGGCTGAATCTCAAAATCATCGCCGGGGGTTCCTGCATTCAGATAATGTGCACCACGTTTATGAGGCATCAACTGTTGAGCTGCTTTTTCCACATAAACATCCCCTGTCCCTCTCAAACAACGACAAAAAGGGGTCTTTAAAGGTTAAACATTCAATGAAGAAAAATGGGGAGATCTCTGTGCCTCACTGTTCTCAATTACATAGATCTCACCAGGGGAATGGTAGGTGCATGCTGGGTAAAACGGCCTATTTATCTCCAGTGTTTGATAGCTGCTCTCAGGGGTAAAGACAGACATAAGATCAAGTTTGTACAACAGAAATACGGGATAATGCTTTACAACACTGAAACCAATCTTTTTTTTTTTTTTTTTAAATTGAATTTATAATTGCGATGTTTCCTTTATTTCATCAAAAACATATACAGATTATTATTTTATAAAAGTTGTTGTATTCATATCTTTGTTGGGACTATTTGAAAAAACACATTAACAAGATGTTACTTCTTAAAATGTAAATAAGTCATCTATAATCTTATGATTTAACTGTTGTATTGACACCTTGTACCCTCGCCTTGTAATATTACTTGAGTTATAATTAATTACATGATATAATAATGCCATATTTAGTTGTTATTCAATGCTAAGTTATTGTCTTTTTTTCTCCTTATAATGATAATTGTATATGACGGGGACT